AGGATGGAGGAAGAGGAGAAATAACTCAATAAAATAAGTGAATAAATTAATAAGTAGAGATTGGTTTTGATAGATGGAGGTTCTGCCAGTCTGGTATTGACATGGGAGTGCTGGGTGATCAGACCCAACACCCATGTTGATTCTCATCCTATGCTCATAATGATTTAGAGATGCAGACATAGAGAGGAGAGTAAAGCAGAGTTTATTAGGGAAGGAGAAAAAACTTCCAGTGTAGTGAAAGGGGACTCAAATGAGTTGCAGAAAAAGGACTGGAAAGGAGGGTTTTTTTATCCATCAGTCTTGGTAATGGGCAGCCTCTTTGATAAGAAAGTGGACTTTAGAAAATAGTTACATGGTAGTCTGAGTGATTTATTACCCTGTTCTTGGTTGGATCAGCAGACCATAGCTTTCTTGTTAGAATACAATTACTAAATAGAAACTGTTGCCCTTAGCTACAATTGCTTTGAGTCTCAATGCATCTTGCTTTTAGCTGTGAAAACTTAGCCACTGTGACTCCATCTTGGGTCTTTACCCTGTCTTTGTGCTCAGTATCTGTTTCCTGCCTTATCGGTAAAAATCATAAATTCTTGGGAACCAGCAGTTAGCGTAATGGCTGTGTCGCTGGGCTCCCACGTAGTCGACCGCGGTTCGTGTCCCGGACCCGGTAGCTTAAAACTTAAGCCAGTCTAAGATCCTGAGAGGAGAATGGAGGAGAAGGGATTGCAGCGTGACCATCCCCCCTGGGGGGTGATTTCTCATTTCTCTCTTTCTATCTCTCTGTCTCTCTCTGTCCGTCTGGCGAGTGCACGCGCCCTATAGTAAAAAAAAAAAAAAAAAAAAAACAACTCTCCAAAAAAAAAATCATAAATTTTTAAGAGACATGTAAGAGGTGTATATTGCACATTAACCAGACCATAGAGGAAAAACACAAGACTTCATTAAAAAGAAAAGCACAGTGAGTGGGTCTAACTCAACTCGGTGTGAAAAAGGGAGATGAGAGCAAACAAATGGTTGTAATTGTGGACCATGAAATTTAGGTTCATTAGAGAAGTGAGGGCATAAGCAGGTGGGGGACAGTAATAATTGTTCATTAGAGTCGGTGAATGGAAAGACAGAATTGCTGAAGTACTGAGGTGAGAGCCGAAAATTCAGGATTTGGCGGTCAGAATGGTTGTATTAAATGCAGGTTATGGAAGGTGTATACCATTATTGATAATGCAAAGGTGTTAGGTATCTAAAAATAGTTTTTTTTGAATCAATATCTTGGAATATTATGAAAAAAAGACTATATCTGTTCCTTAAGGAATGTATCTTGTGATTGATTGAGAGACTGGTCTGTAGAAAAAAGTTTTTCCTTTGCATTGACATGGAAGTTAAAAATTTAAAGACAGGGACCAGCAGTTGGTGTAATAACTATGTCGCTGGACTCCCATGTAGTTGACTGTGGTTCGAGTCCCAGACCTGATGGCTTAAACTCAAGCTAGATGCATATGCGTGTGTACCCAAGATTCTGAGAGGAAAATGGAGGAGAAGGGATTGCTGTGTGGCCGTCCTCCCGGGGAGGTAATTTCTGTCTCTGTCTCTTGTCTTTCTGGCGAGCGCATGTGTCCTATAGCAGACACCACTAAAAAAAATTCAAAGACAAAGCAACAAGCAAAGGGTAACTTAGGCAGATTTCAAGATTGAGACCGTAAGGTAATAATTCTATACAGTTTAACAATTCAAAGGTTTTATTATTTTTTAGAATTATTTTATTTAACTTTATTTATCCATTTTAAAATTTATTTAAATTTCACCAGAGAGCAACTGTGTGTGTGTGTTTGTGTGAAAGAGAGAGAAAGAGAGCAAGAGAGAAACTGAAAAAACAAGCCACCAGGTCTGGGACTTGAATCACAGTCAGCCATGTGGGAGTCCAGTGCCCTTAACTACCATGCCAACTTCTGGCCCCATTCTGTTATTCCTAAAAAAAAAATTAGATTTTTTTGCTTTAGGGTGTGTGTGCCTGCTGGAGAGAGAGAGAGAGAGAGAGAGACAGACAGACAGAGACAGACAGAGACAGAAACAGAGACAATGAGAGGGAAAGTAAAAAATAACTCCCCGGGGGGATGACCACACTGCAGTCTCTTTTCCTCCATTTTCCTCGCAGGACCATGGGCACGCACACACAGACACTCAGCATGATTTTTAAGTCACTGAGTCTGGGACTTGAACCACAGTCAGCCATGTGGCAATCCAGTGATGTAACTACTACGCCATCTGCTGGTCCCTCAAAGGTTTTACTTAATGTTGTAATAGGATTTGTTCAGATTAATTGTATTAGGCCTGACTGATAATATTGTGGACATTAACTACCTTAACTAACCAGTATCCACTTTAACATTGTAACAACACCTTGATTTTGCTTGTATAAACCATTATTCCCCCATCCAGTCTGTGTGATTCTGATGGTGTTGACGACTCCCCCCAAAGATGTCTTTCACTCAAGCTGTCAGTGGATACAATGGGTACAATGATGTATCCAGGGATGAGCACATGACCCAGTCAGCGTCACAAGTCACAAGTTTTTGCTAGAGACTTTCGGAAGGGAGTCTGCTGCTCTTTAGAAGCTGCTAACTGTTTTGCTGCACAGGGAGAAACCTGTCCAAGAATTGAGTCAACATTAGGGAGAAGAGAGCTACCAGATGGTGAAAGAGCCCTGGTGACATAATTTGAACCCTTACTCAAACTACATGACCTTTGGTATTTTTTAGGTACTTGGGTCAGTAGATCCTTTCTTTTTAAGTGATTTTTCTGCCCCTCATAATCAATGGAGAACTAATGTGTAGATAGGGTTACCATGAGGAGATTGACACACCCTCTAAGCTAGTTTGAATGAGTGGAGTGCAGTGTAGTTGAAATTTCTGTTAAGATGTGGCATCTTCCAAAAAAACTCATTCCTTTTGATCTTTTTTTAAATACTCTTTTTCAGCCCACATGCTCTCATGAGCGTCAGCGTGGGATAGCCAAAAGAACACCAGACCAATCTGGAGTCAGGTCTTGTGTCTGGTACTGGGTGTGTTATTTCAGTGTTTTGAGCCTAAGTTTTCTCATTTATAGAACGAGGAGAATGGTAGTGATTTTGCAGAGTGATTGCAAGGCTTAACTAGAATAATGCATATAAAATATCTAACTTGGTATCTGACACTGTCCGTTCCCTTCCCTCCTCCTCTCTCCAACTTCTCGTATATTGTCTGAAACACAGTAGTTGTCAGCAAATTTGAGTGTGACGAGTGTATAATACAGGTTGAGTATTTCTTATCCAAAATGCTTGGGAACAGAATTATTTTAGATTTCAGATTTCTTTTGGATTTTGGAATATTTGCAAGTTTATGATGAGATATTGATGAGCTATCTTAGGAATGGGATGCAAGTCTAAACATGAAATTCAATTATGTTTCTTATGCACTTCATACAAATAGTCTGAAGGTAATTTTATGCAATGCTTTGTATTGTGTTTTGACTGGAACCAGTCACATGAAGTTAGGTGTGGAGTTTTCCACTTGTGGTGTAATGTTGGTATTCAGAAAGTTTTGGGTTTTAGAGCTTTTCAGGCTTTTGATGTTTAGGTTAAGGATCTCAACCTATAATTGAACAGATACCATTCAGGGTCTTCTTTTGATCCTTTTATTCCTGAAATTTTTTGTTTATTTAATAAGAGAGAATGATTAGTTGAGTACCAGGGTCTTACTGTGTCTTGATTCTCCTGCTTTAGCCTCTCAGGTAAATAGTGCAGTTAGCAAACTTGGCTTTTTTAGGTCTGACTGGGAATTGAACCTGAGCCTCCCATGTTGTAGTCTGAGCTTCAAAGTAAGTTACATCTTCTAGAGTAAACCACTGTGGCTGGATCTATTCCTGAATTTGTACTGTATCCAAAGTCCTGTAGTTTATTGACTAATAGTCAAAGACTTCCTTTTTTTTTTTTTTTCAATTAAAATTTTGCTAGGTAGAATTTTTTCCTTCCCAGCTTTAGCAACCATCACTGATTCATGTTATCATTCCAGGATTACTGTGAGAAGTAAGAATGATACCCAACACTCACCAAGTACTTTGTTCGAGTAAGGCATGATGGCCCACATTTTAGTATTTCATTTACCTCTAATATGATAACCTTGATGGAATGTTAACAGTGTCTTACTGATTATTGTGTCCAGACTTCTTAGCTGAAGTGAGGTAAGCTACAGAGTAGGGACTCAGCATGTACTGTTCCGTTACCTTTTTGAGAATAGAAACCCTTCTGATTGTATATACCCAATTATGGACACAGTGTAATACATTGGTTAAGAACCTAGACCCTCGTGCCAGACTGTCTGAGTTTGAATCCTGGCTCCATCATTTACAAATTATACAACCTTAGGTAAATTATATATTCAGATTTATCATCTGTTAAAGGAGGGTGTAGTCATTAATGATATCTGTTTCATAGAGATGTGAGAATTAAATGTGTTTTCAATGAAAGATGCTTTCAATAGTGTCACTATTATGAAAATGCTAGCTAATATTACTACACTTTATATTATTTCAGCAGATCTGACATCATAGTAGTCCAAGGTACAATCTTACACATAATAAAACTTGACTTTTGAAATCATCCTAAACCTAGTGGTATTTCTAAATAATATTGCTGTCATCAGTGTTATCCTCCTATGAGAAGTCTTTTTCTGGTAGCTTTTTTCTTCTCTGGTCTTTTATTAGACTTACTTGGGAACATAAATTAGCACTTCATTATTGTAAAGTTGTTTAAGCCGTGTTAGTTTTGTGCCATCAACTAGAGTGACTTTCAGCTCTTTGAGAGCTAAAATTATATCTTACGTGTCTTATTATCCCTTATCATGTAAAACTGCAATGAGAACTGATAATTAATGATCAGTTATTAGAGGCAGAAAAGAAAACAAGCATTTTGTGTTTAAAAAGATCCGTTAACATCTAAAACATCGTCTTATTGGTGTCTGTCTTCGTTTTAGGTTCCTAAATATTTGTCACAGCAGTGGGCTAAAGCTCCTGGAAGAGGTGAAGTTGGGAAACTGCGGATTGCCAAGTAAGTTATTTAAATATTACTGACATTTTAAAAGCTGTTTCTTGAAATTTTCCTAAGTGCTTTTAAATGTGACTATAATTCTCAGTCAGATAGAGAATTTGTTTGGAATATGAGAAGTAATGAGCATACGAAGACTTGTTTTTTGTTTTTGTCATTTTTATTTAACTATATTTATTTACTTATTTAATTTGACCAGAGGGACAGAGCAGAGTCGGCATGGGGTGGGGGAGTGAGAAAGCAAGTTGCTTGGTCAGGGACTTGAACCACGCTAGGCCACGTGGGAGTCCAGTGCCCTTAACCACCATGCCACCTGCTGGCCCCATGTCAAGGCTTATTAAAAGATGGTTAGGTGCCGTGTGAGGAGAAGTGTTTGCACGTGCCCATGCACTCACGCACACATACACATCCACACACCCTCTTTCCTAGACATGGGATGTGTAAATATTTTGCCATGTTTATTGGTACAACACAATGGCAGTGAAACAGTATATAGTTTCCTTTCCCTCCATCCTCTCTACAGCCTGTGAGTAGGTGCTCAAGAGCTGGATACACTAGCGAAAGAGCGTTTAGGACG